TTTATACTTGACATCGGCGGGAGGATACTGCTCGTCAAAATAATCATCACCAAACGCTTGATCATTAATATAGTCAGCCTGGGTACTCCTAACTTCACCAATCTGATTCTCGTCTTCTTCATATGAGTCTTACACCACCGGGATCTGACGAACCAACTCTTTGAACCTTCTACCCATGTTGACCAGAGCTTTCCTCTTGGGTTCTTGGCTGCCAACAATGCCATCATATCTTGTTGCCCCTTGGCTAGGGCCAGTAGAGTCTCATGGAATTGAGATTTTTGTGCTTGAAGGTCCTTCACAGTTTTCTCTAGATCCATCTTGCTGAAATAAACAACAGAAAGATAAGGAAACCTGTAGTGTGAAAACCTGTCATGTTATGATGCATGGAAGATATATATATGCAAATGATTTCAAGGACTTATGAAATTTAAATTTGTATATACAAAAGAATGAAAAAACTCCAATTTTCATTAATCAGTTCAAAATTAATACATCATTCCTCTTGGGCTTACAAAATAACTTTGTAAGATAAAAAGACTGAAAGCGTCCTCTTCGGTGCAATGTACGCGTTCACACTTTGCTCTTCTTGTAGCTGATTTGTAAGCTCTAAGAACCACTTCTCGCTAGCGTAGAATTGAGCTTTGAAGGTATCTCATTCCTCCTTTAGTTAAATCCAACCCTTTTGTGAGTCTTCAATAGAAGTGGGCATGTCAGGATGGAGGACAGTGTATGGGACATCTCCTTCAACCACAGGTTCCATGATAACTGGTAAGATGGAGGGATAAGGCATCACATGTTTCTGAGAACGAGCTCGTACCCACCTAAGGTAAGGCTCTAGGGGAATGGAATTATTGTGTCCCGGCGTCTTACTATCCATTTTTCTCACCATCCTTTAAGCTCGTATAAACCTCTGACGGTAGCCTTGATCGTCGCTCTCGTAGTCGAAAACCACTCCTTGGATGAGCATATCATGGGGACCATCCCTTCGGGCATAACCAAATTGTCGTAAGGCTAAGCAAGAGTTGTAAGTGATACTTACTCTAATTCCAAGCAAAGGGACATTATGGAATTCCCCACAATGGTCGACGATAGTGACGTTCTCCAAGGATCGAGAACACCAATGGATATCTGAATGTTTGAGCGTCATCAACCTATGGGACTATCTCGAACCTTGCTCGTTATTCAACACAGACCGGAGAGGATGCAAAATAAACCATCTTTCCAAGAGAGGGGTGTAACACATGAGGATCCCTCTCTTACTCATAGTGCGAGAATGAAAAGAATGTAGTATATCTCCCAACAAAGTAGGCACTAGATTGCGAGACATGAAGATTTTGACAGCATTTACATCTATAAGTTGGTCAGGGTTTGGAAACAAAACCATCCCATAGATGAGAAGGGCTAAGATTTCTTCAAAAGCTTGTAAGTCCAAAGAGTTCCAACAATCTTGAGCTTTCTCAAACAAGAATTTGGCTAAGAAACCTTTGACACCACTCCTTGTTTCCCAATTAGTTATGATATCAGATTGTTGCAAGTGTAGTGCTTGGGCAATCTCTTCAGGTTTTAGATCTCTTCCCGTACCATTGAAGGGTAGTTGATTGGGAATGGGAATCCTCAAGAGCTGTGAGAATTCTTCTAGAGTAGGCACAAGCTGATAATCGGGAAAAGTGAAGCAATGGTGTAAAGGATCAAAGAACTTGAAGAGCACCTTCATCATATCTTCATCAATGTTAGAAGTAACCAAGCTTAGGAGGCAACCATGTCTTTCGGTGAATGAAGAATTCGCAGGGACCCTTGATGCTAACTCTTTCAGTTGAGGATGAATCCTTACGAGATTGACTTGGATAGTATTCCTGCGGATAGAAGCCATGTCTTATAAAATAGAACAAAGATAAATCCCAAAAATCCTTGAAATGGTTAGAATGAGTATGATGTTATGATGTTTATGATGTTATGCATAAATAAGTATATACAAACAAGGAAAACAAGTCCTTAGGTTTAGGCTTGCATGGAGTCTCATAGGTAAGTACCCTCTTGAAGTTTAGTTGGCTCAAACTTGTCCTAGAAATAGTAACCAGGTTCTAAGGGATCTCAATATCACTGATCTGTCTTATCGGGCATTATTTCAGTGCAAGCCTCTTTCACCGCGACCAAAATATTCTGAGAAGTCAGATCTCAATGAGTGTAGTATCGAGTATCAACCAACTTCGGACTACACCAAATCCGGTTATCTCACTACGTCATAATGGCCAAGTTGGTCAAATAAAGGTTATAAAAGTTAGTTAGTGCTTCATGACACCACACAGCAGCCCCGTATTCTCCTTGACTACTCAAGGGCTACCGGTACCCATAAATGTGTCACACTAATGTAGCTATTGGTTAGACCATGTCGGTATACCCCGCACAGTTTCCACAATGTATTGCTACTTACCTATAAGGTATCCCAAATCCGGGTAGAGGATTTAAAAAAAACCCAAACAAGGAACCAAAATATAAAGCAAGCAAGTCAAGCAATGAAAGCAAGTAAAAGTGATCTAGCCCTAAGGTAACCCCACTTTTCTTAAGTTTCACCAGTAGAGTCGCCAGTTCTGTGATACGGTGGGAGAACTGACTTGGGATGTTTTTCATTTTATCACAAATTTTACGGTTAGCAAGAGTCACCACCGACTTTTCTTTTATCCAAAAGGAAAGGCTGAAAAGAACAGGAAAGAGCTTTGAGATTATTTCTTGAGTTCGGGGGGTAGGTTATGAAAATGGGAGGTGTTAGCACCCTTTTCATCCATAGTTATATATGGGCTCTTAGTTGCTTGCTAGATCACTTGCTTTTATTTGAAAAAGTCCTTTGTGTGGTTTTTGAAAGTATTTTGAAAAGGCGTATTCGTTTAGGCAAACTTTGTGATAGTGATCATTCGTAATAACGTATACAAAGTATTGGACTTTTCAAAATATTTCATGTTTGGAAAGTGTTTTGAAAGTGTTTGGTGTTTGTTTTGAAAATGAGCAAGGATGTTTGTTTTGAAAATGAGCAAGCAACTAGGAACAATCTATCTACTCAAAAGTATTTTGTTTATTTCTTCCTTTCTTTTGATATTGCTATCTTACCATTGATTGGTAAGAAGCCTTATCTTTGGATGTAAAGGGACGACCGTGGGTCATCGTATAGTCGTGATAGCAATGCTGTGAGATGTCTTAGCATTTCTCTTTGAGGTACTAAGATCAATTTGAAAGGCAACATTGATAGCGTCATAGAGGGACTATGATCTTATATTTTTGACCGTTTTTGCTAAGACATCCCACATGCATAACATGGTCATTTTTGTAAGGCAACAAAGTGGAATTACCCTAAGGGTGTAAGTGTACAAGTGTTTGATTTACATGCATTGTTTATCTTGAATTAGGGTTTGCTACTTGTTGATTTTAGTCTTGCCATACAAACCCTAATTACTAACATTTGTATAAAAGCGATAAATTGCGGAAAATAAAATTACTATGTTATTACATCATTAGGGGAGGGGTGTACAAATTTACAAATGGGGATTGCAAGAAAATTAAACCTAATTATCTATTACAATCATATTAAATAATATACAAGAATTGAATAAATGTGCAAGAAAATAAATGGAAAGGAAATGATTTTTGTTTTGTTTTTATGAAAGGGTTTAATATTGACCTAATTAAGAAAATGATTAATTAAAATTAAACAAATTAAACCTAAACTAATTAAGAAAAGAAATTAAGTTTAAAAAGCATTTTTAGGGTTTTTTATGAAAAAGGTTTTAACTTTAATAAAAAAAATATGAAAATTAATTAAATAAAAGGAACCTAAATTCTAAGTTAATTTTAATTAAGAAAAAGAAAATTAATAATTAAACCTAAATCTAAATATTAATTTACTAAGAAAAAAAGAAATTAATTTATTAAAAAAATGTTTTTTAGTCTTTTTGTTTTATAAAGAAAATAAGCATAAAATGTGAAAATAATAAATAAAAATATTTTTTGGATTTTTTAATAATAATAAAAAATATAATAATAGTAACAAAAAATAATAAAAGAAGACTTAAATAAAATAAAATAAGAAAAAGAAAATAAATAAATAAATGAAATAATAAAAAGTTGGGCCAAGTGTGAAAGCAGGCAGGGGGGATGGTGCAACAAAAATAACAAGGCCCATTGCAATAGGCCGAACGCTGGTTGGTGTTTGTGACAAAAAGGAAAAAAATGTGAAAAAGAGAAAACAAAAGGTATCGCTGGGTATTGAACCCCTGACCCTCAGCATACGCGCGCGCTACCTTTGCCACTGGGGTGGCTGTACATCCGGTAACATAAACAAAACAATAAATACATAACACAAGTCATGTCCTGAATATGACTTCATCTTCAACCTTCAGCTTGAACATCTGTAACTTCACAATTTCTCATCCATTTGCAAAAACGTAAATATCAAACTTGTTCCAAATTTCACAACGATTCCATAAATTTAACTTATTAAAACTATAAATCAAAGATGAGCATGAATTTTGAATGGTACCAAATTCTGACCTAATTTTTTCAGAAAGTTCAAACTTAAAATTTTCACTACTCAAGTAATATAAATGAAATATATGGACATGTATAGTTTCAGGGCAATGATGTCTATATTTTATCTTCACAAATGCAAGCCTAACAATGCCTAAATGAAAATATAGAAGTTCAGAAAATCCACCTCAAAACTGGAAATCGTGAAATACAAATGAGCTTGATTCAAGGTTCTGCAATGATCAGGTTAGCTTCCTCAAGTTTCCAGGAAGCTAATGCAATGCTTACTTGATGCTGGGAGTGTTTGAATCGTGCTAGAGAAGTCAAGGTGCAAGCTCTGTTTTTTGGTTATGGAAGTTGATGAAGATGATGTTACAGTCGTGTAACAGGGTGAGGGATTGTTTGTAGATGATGTTTATGAACTTTTGGAAGTGAAAAGCCAAGAAATGCACAAGTGAATCCTGAGTTTGGAGTTTTTGGTCAGAATGTGCAACAATGGAGGTTTGTTATGCAGTTCTGAGTTTGTGAGAGTTTGAGGGCTTGTGGATTTATGTCTTGGCTTGCAATAGACTTGTTCATATGTATGGAAAAGGTTGAAGATCAAATGTACTCAAGATTTCTGAGTTCTAGCCTTTTGGCTCGATAACTTACATTTTAAGAAAAGTGAGAAGACAAATCTCAAAGTGTTGTACAAGCATGTTCTGAGTTGAAAGAGGCCTTAGACATATTGCTTTTAGTTTATAGAGGTTATGTGTGCAGAAAGAACAAGTGCAAGGCTCAAGAAGTTGACAATTGCAAAAGTGATGCTTTATCAAAATGGAAATGGCAACTTTGTGCCATAAATGGAAAATCATTTTGGACAAAGTTTAAACTAAGTGGATAAGGGACTAAAGAGTTATGTAAACCATTAATTATGGAGTGACAAACAAGTTTGAGGCCTGAAAAGTGAAGATTATGCATCCTAGCATGGATTTGATTCATGTTCATCCTAAAAATCTGCCTTGTAAAACAAGAATGGAACCATAACTTCTTGCCTTTGATTCTCCTTGCTCAAGTATGATCTTAATGAGTTCTTGGACATTTTGGAAAGATTATAACATACTCTACAACCTCTATGTTGGACATTTTTGAATATTCATCTTGTAACTATGTGAAAAATCGCCATGAAGTTAGGTAAAAATCCTGCCTAAACTAGGGTAAAATTTCACTAAGTTTTTCAAGTTTCATGAACATGTCTTCTTAAAATCATAACTTGAAAACCATGCATTTCTAGAAAAAGTTGTGTTATAAAATGTTTTAGATATCATTGAGATCTACAAATTTCATTTTGGAAGTTTACTTTGAATCATCTTGCATCATGGTGGAAATTTGCTCAAAGTTGTGAAGAAAATGTGAATTTCCAACACTTGGAAAAAAATTCTAAATTTAGAAATTTTGACTTTTCAAAATGAAATCTTGAATTTTTGATTTATTGATGAACAAGTTTAATATTTTTACATGTATTGATGTATTGTGATTTTTGATACTTGATTTTGACCAAAAAGTCAAAGTTTGACTTTTCAGTGTACAATTGACTTTTCATCAGTTGATTGAAATTCATATGTCAATCAATTGAGCTTGAGAAATGTTTTGACCCATGTAATTAGGTAAAAATGAATTATTTGAATCCTTGAGATCATGTCTCAAACCAATAAGTCATTTGCTAGGTCAAAAATAAAAAATTGCACCTTCTCAGTCAAAACCCTAATTTTGACCATTTTGCCCTTTTGATGATCTGATCAAATTTCTTGAGGAATTGTGATCCAAACTTGATCAATTAAAATATATGAGTTCATTATGTTGATATGGATCCAAAATTATGAAGTTTTACTGTAAATTGACCACATTTGACTTTTTCTCCAATACATTTGATTTTTAGGTCAACTGATTAATTGATTGAGCAAAAATGTAATCCAAGACTTGAAACTTGACATGAGCAATATTGAGGGTCCAAAATGATCCATGAAAGTCATATGGGTCATTAAAAGTCCATTTGTCATTGTGCAAACTCAAACCCTAATTTTCAATTATTAGTGCTTGAGGAGATGTCTTGAGCTGATCAACCCTTGTGCAGTCCTGAATCAAAGGAGATCTTGTGAGAGATCACTTGAGAAATGAGAGGGTAAATTTTGGGGTACAACAGGGTGAATTGGAGTTGTCATCTAATAAAACTCTTGATGATTTTATTCCTTATATTTGCAATTTCCTTAAGAAGGATGCACTTGGCGGTCCATGGGAACCTACTAATGGGGGTGATCCATATAATGATGATAAGTCTTTGATATGAACAGTCCTTAGGTTTATATCTTAATACCATGACATGATTTATTTTTCCATGAAAATGTGTGCTTCTCCTTATTAAATAATGTATATTTTCCCTATTTTATTACAGATACTCGAAGGATATTAGTCAGTTTGATCTGCAAAAATGTCAACATTGGAACCGGTTCCTCGATGTATTAGTTAATTTTATGATTACTTATTGTAATTTACTGGTATTTAGTTTAATTTTTCTTTATTGTTTCTTTTCATGTTTAAGTTGCTACTAAGTAGAATGTCAATATCTATCATTTGAAGTGTTCACTTCTACTGTTGTAATTTGTATATCCTCATTTCTTAAGATGGATGAGATTTTTTACATTTGCTAAGTTTAATTATTTTTGTAACATTTGTTGACTCTTTGTTTCTTTTGTTAATATTTCCTTCATCCGAGATTAGTGTTATATCTCTTGGTCATATAATATCTCGTTTAACATAAAAAAGTTAGTTACCAAAAGTTGTTGCGTGTTTTATAGATACATTATGATAGAATTGGTAAAGATAGTTTCTTTAGCCACAAGGAGATTACTATACTTTATGCTCCTGATATGTGTGACTGCCTCCCTTCATTGGATGAATGGCATGATTGGTGGCTTGCCCACAAGAAAGTTGTGGCAGAAAGAGAACGTCAAATTTATCTAGAGAAAGAGGTTTAATTTTGTTTATTAGTTAAAGTTGTTCCATTCATGTTTTTTTTGGGATGGATTGTATAGAAAAACACGTTTATGTATTTTCTCTACAATCGGGGTTTTTGGCAACATCTTATTGCTTGAAGTTCTACACGAAAACACTATAGGAAGATCGTCAGAGAAACTTCTAGTCTCGAGTAGCTTATGAAAAGGAGACATCAATATGAGGCTATTAACGAATATGGTATAAGATCATGGCCTTCATCTTATGCAACTTATCATCTTTTCTATTGGAAAAGGTTAATGTTATAGTTGAGGAAGCTGGGTGTTTTGGTTGGTACAGAACAAAGAAAATAACAGTAAAGTAGGGCTGAAATTAGATGTAAAATATATGTACATATGAGGATGTATATGTATTGTGTAACATGTTCTGATTACAACTTTCCATTAGTTGAGAATAAATTACATCTTATTATATTCCCCTTCTAATATATTTTAGCTCGGGTAGTTCAAACATAACGTGTCTGTGTGTAATGCACCCAGAAAACCAGTCGTCACCAAAAATGATAGTTCCAATCCTTGGTGGGCATTGTTAGAAAATTCTATCTAAGAGGCTGGTGGGAAACTTGGAAAGCCAGAGATCTCTCCTGCATCCACGAATGCATGCTATTTTTGCAATCTTTAAATGCCAGCTATTGGATTCTCATATATGGAAAACACTCTTGTTCTACTCCATGACCATAATGAGGTGATTCTTATAATATATTTTGTGCTTATTTAATTATTTGACGCCATGCTTGCATGCCTACAGATCATGTCACTTTTTGTGCGATTATACATTTGATTTGCGTTGACACTTTTTTCCCCTTAAGTTTTTGAAGTTGTATCCTAATGTCATGCACCTTAGTTTAGAGTTTAACTTCGACTTATGTGTTGTTTCTTCTCTGTGCAGTATCTCCACAAAGATGAATACTTGAAAGGAATAAAAATATATGAGTCAATTATTAAGGCATATGCATCCTATGATGAACATGTAAAAGATGAATTATGAACATCACATATTCAATTTGATTTCAAACAATTCTCTTTGGTTACAAAGTCAACTTATTTTATTTAGTTACAATATCCAAAACATGAAATAATTGAAATGTGGAATGGCGAATATGAACTGAATTATGCAGTCAATGAGTACAAAAAAGTGACATCTGGAATCATATGGCATTCCATATTATATTACTTCTCCTACGGTTTACTATTAAACAAAGTCACAAAAGGGGCCTCAAATCTAAAAGCTTCATAATTTTCATGTAGTAGATCAAGAACTATGCAGAAATGGTTTAAAGAAATAATCAGATAGTGGCGGAAAACGCAATATATGAGAAGCTGCTACGAGTTGGAATTTGAATATTAAGTTCACAAAATTTGAATATTAGTGTTATGCTTCTTAAAGTCAGTGAGCCTGTCAGCAAAATACTCGAGGCATGTCAGTTACTACAACAACGACAAACATCATATCTTGTCGTTGGTAAGAGTAGAGTTAACCGCCAAGAAAATCTCCATGTTTGTTAATCCTTTGTACTATGAATATCTTTATATCATATATATTGTCATAACTAAGAATATGTTAACATGGATATTTGGTCCACTTTCTATTCAAGACCATCATGTCACATGTTATGTTTTTTATTTACTTTTGCTAATCGTCCATTTACAATTCATGCTGGTGGGATTAGTATCTTTTAGTGTGGAACTTTATAGATACCTTTTTGTTTAATTTTATGAAAAATGAATCTTCTTTTTATACTTGATATAAACTCTTTTGTTTATACAATTATCATAAAGTTGTGTTTCTATTTGTTTACTTGAATTGAGCTTTCATCGACATGGTTATTATTAGAATGAAGTTGTGAATCTATCGCCCCATGCTCATACCATTAGAGACTCAGATGATAAAGAGCTATAGAGTTTTTTCTATGGCATGTCTCCTTTGCAGGTAATTTGATATAACTTGGTACTTTTTGTATGATGAATTATCGTCGGTCTATTGCAACCAGTAAAATTGATGGAATTGATTTTAATTTACAGTGTATACTGATGGTTGCTGCAAGTTCAGTGTGAGAGGAACTCTTCTATAGAGCTGCAGTTCAAGTTTGTTTCAGAAATTTTATGCCTGGAATTTATCGTATTTTCCTAGAGATGTTTGAGAAATATATTTAGATTTGCTTCAACTTTGTATTGTATGTTTGAAACCATTTATATTGAAATTCTTATTGGAATTCTACAGGGGGCAATGGCAGATATATTTTTACAAGGCAGTAATCTTATTCAAGATGTATGAGGAATGGCGTCTTAGGTATGTCTACCATTTTCTTTATGTTTCAAACATTCGAAACTAAGTTTCATTTTGGTAACTAACTCGCAATTTATACAGTAATATGTAGTCAAGTGTTCTACCATCATTTGTTCCATTTGCTTAAGCACTCGCAGTTGTACTTACCGCTATCCTTACCGGTTCTCTCTATTAAGTTGTCGTCTCTCCTAAAGGTTACTTTTTCGTATATCCTATTTTACATTTTCTCTTTGACGTAACTGTTTTTTTCACGCGCTCTTATAGATCCTACCTATATTTTTGCGTCAGTTTTACAATCTCACGAAAGTCATCATTATTTGAAAAAGATCTTCAAAGATTCTATTCTTTTCTCTCAAACTGTTGAATATTATATTCATTTCATATCTATGTTCCAGTTCTTCATCCATGGAATCGTGTTCATCCATAGAATCATGTTATATGTAAAATAAAGTCTCGAGTACTTATATATGTCGTCTTGATACATGCACATTTTTGTGCTTGTGATACATCAAACCGATAATCCATTTCATTTTGGTTTGCAGCCTGGTATGAGAAAAGGCAAATGATGAAAATCTATTCACCACTTCTGAAAGGACTATTGGCTCTCTACCTCGGTTTCGAGTGGATCCAAGTAATGATTTCACCTTTGGAAAATATTCATTATCTTTGGTCTGTTTTCTAAGCAACTAAACTAATTTGTGTTACTTGACAAACAAATAATATTCTTTCTCCCATTATCACACATGGAATTTACTCTACTGTTATATTGAGACACGACCTTTGGAAGATACACGGAGAACTACGACAAAGAATCCAGCAACTGAAATCAAAAGAAAGAAATTCCAACTAGACTTTGAAATTTCATCCATGACTGATTTTTGTGAAAAATCTATATATGTATTAGAGGTGTTAATAATGTAAAGAAAATATGTGTATACTTATATGTTAGCTGAGTTCTCATACCTATAGAATATGCAAAGTTTTGATTACATGATTTTCTAATTGGGTCATTAATGTCTATAATAAAAATTGGAGTATTCCAAAAGTTGTGTTAATTTAATAAAACAACATATCACAACTCTCACCATGACTTCTAATGTACATAATCATATAATATTGTTGGAACACTTTTAGAAATAAGAATGGTTTATTAAAATTATGTGATAAAAGATATAATTTTTATTGCAAAAATTATGATTACAACAAAATTATTTTAAATTATAAATTACTTTACAATTTAATACATCATTAATAATTTATTTCATATTATATATATTTTTAATTATTTTATTTTTTTAATTACTAAATAACAATATTGTAAATTTATAAATAATGTTTTTTTTCCTAAAATTAATGTTTTCGGAGAAGTACATTTTTCAAAAAAAAAAAATTAAAAGAAAGATAAATCTATTTCTCTTATTTTTATTTGTTTTTTTCACAAGAGATTGTATTTTTTTGTGCAGGTCTCCTTCATCAATTCAAATTTTTTTAATTTTGTTTTGAAGACTCGTCACAAAGATGAAAATAATTATTTGTTCAACTTTTCTTTTTTATTTTTAATGTAAATTCAATGTGCTTTAATTTGGTTAATTAATATCTCTTTAAAGCTATTTGTGATTTTTATATCAATTATACTCTTTAAAGCCACTTAATAGAAAATTAATATTAATTTTTAAAGCTATTTAAATATAATAAAATATTCGTTGGTACATTATTTTGGGCCAAATTATGTAAAAACAATAGAATATCCGATAAAAAAAAGTTTTTTATGGTTGAGTAGCCATCCCTGTAAAATTGAAAAAGTAATAATTTCTATATAAAATATAAGATATGAACTAACTATTTTTCATAAATGAAAAAATGATACAACATTTTGATGAAAAAGATGAGAGATAAAATATAAAATATTTTATTCAATTTTGTCTGTGTCCACTAAAAAATAATTCTCTGTAATATAAGTAAAACAATAATTATATAATTAAACAGAGAGAAATTAAAAGTCTCTATTTTCAATTTCCTTAAATTTAATGAAAATGAAAATTATATTCAATAGTTTTTAATATATTTGATTTATAAATTGATTTTAATCAATCATATTAAATAGTTATTCATAATTGAATTATATAATTTACTTGAATATTTCTTCACTATAATTTGTTAATTTAAGATTTTTATTATTATAAAATATTTTTATTATCATCAAATATTTTTAAAGAATGTTATTTTTACAAACGAGATTAAGTTTACTATTGATTCATATAATTTTATAAATAATGTCAAAACAAAAATAATATTTATTATTTTTATAGACGAAAAAAATATATTGTTGATTTAAATCCTAATTTATTATTTTTTAAAACACGGATACTGATATAGTACGCATATATAGTACTGATATTAAGCTATTAAGTTAAATATTAAATAATAACAAGAATAATTTAGTGTTGATTTAAATATTTTTATAAATAATTCCTAAACTATATATATATATATATATATATATATATATATATATATATATATATATATATATATATATATATATATATATATATATATATATATATATATATATATATATATATATATATATATATATATATATATATATATATATATATATATATATATATATATATATATATATATATATATATATATTTATATTTTTAAATAATATATTAGTTATCATTAAACATTTTATTTAGATTTAAATATATTTTTGAATTTAAATACACGTATAATATAATAGTACTTATGCGAACGCACGAATATCCTAATAATTTAATGTAATAACTTGCCTAAAGTTGAAGGTATGAAGTATAATAACTTGTCTAAAAGTTTAATAAAATAAATGAATTTAAAATAATTAAAAATTCAAATTAAAAAGGTATGAAGTCTACCCCGTGATATTAAACAAAGAAAGAAAGATACTTTAAAATTTTAAACTTGGACGGCTATATGACCAAATTAGTTAAAACTGGATCGGACAATAAATTGGTATAAGTTAGAGTTTAAGGTTTAAAATTTTGATTGGAGTTAATCCATGGTCGAACCGATAATACTTAAATTTAACTTTTATATTTAAACTTGTCACTTTTAATATTTTTGGACTATTTATTTTAATAAGGATAAATATTTCAAAAAAAGATTGTTACACCAAAAAAAAAATTACAGACTATATCAAAATCCTCTCAAAAAGTAACGAACCTATAAAAAAAATATATCAAACTTATTAAAGGTCTGATGGAGACTAAATCAGAGCAAATCGGAGTTCTTATGCTACTGACTAAATTTTATAATTTGAAATATTATCTCAGTCTAATTGTGCAAAATAACTGTAAATGAACTTTTTTTTTGTTGTTGCAATATTTATTATGAATATAGTATTTATTCAAATTGAAAAATTGTTGATAAATAAGGGTATAAAATACGATTTTAAAAAAAACTTTTGTTATTATATAATATTTTGTTAGTCTAAATAGTAATTTTTGTTTAACAAAAATTCAGTTATAATTTAGTTAAAATAGTATTTTCAATCACAATAAATATATAAAACATTAAATATCATTTTAAAAATATAAGTGCAATAATTTAATTAAAGTTATTTTGATATGCTCTTACATTTTAACTAAAGTATTTTTTAGACTTAACATTTATGTATGCAAATACATTTATATTTAGGACTAACAGGGTCTTCATAGGCCTGACAATGTCCATTACCGTTGTAAGTTTGAGAGCACCATTGTCGACATCTCCCAAGAAAACAATCACCTTCCCTGAGTGTGAAACATGTTTGGTCTGCTTGACTCATTGTTATAACTGTGAAAAAGAAAAACATTATTACATTCTAAAACAAAATATTAAAATAAAAAATAAAAAACATAATTTGAAAGAAAGAACAAATTTTGTATACCTGAAAAAATAAAGAAAAGGACAATAACTGGCATGAAAGAAAACTGGGTCATTTTGAATAGATTCAAATAGAGTGAATGAGATTTATCCTATTTGAGAAATTAACTCTAACTTTTAAAACAAAATTACTCTTATCCTGCTTATGCAAAACATCAAGTTTATATGCTATAATATATATAAGATTCAGTAACAGTAAAAAAATATAACCATACAATTCCAATAACATTTGAATAAATGTGATGTGAAACCTATATTACAAAATAATACTGTTTTAGTTCATTATCAGTAACATTTAAAAAATACATTATTTATATTTTTAGTAACATTTGAAATGTATAATTACAAATAAATGGGATAGGGGAATTTTGGCTGTTTTTTTCCTCCTTAAAACCTTATGTTTTTCCGCATTCCAATTCTTTAAAGATAAAATTTTAAGGTATATAGGTCAGTAATTGTGTTAAGACATTAAATGCTTGAGCATAAGTTCAAACTTGTGATATTTCATTTTTTATTTATTTTCAATAAGATAAATCTCAACCACTAAACTACTTAACCAAGAAAAAGTATTAATGGCCAATAGGATGAAATAAGTCCACCATGTAGTATGGGAGAACAAACTGAGATTTCAAGCCCACCATGTAGTTTGAAGTAGGTGAAGGTTGTCGGGTTAATGAAATTAGAGAATTTTTTTCTCCTTTTTGTTATGTTGAATTACATTTTTGAAAATCCTTTTTTGGATGTGTATATTCAAACAGGTAAATTTAAAATATTAAATTATTTTTGATATGTGTATCCAAAATAATCAAATATTTTTAAAAAAAAATTATTTTTATTTTATTTTAAAAAGATATTTATTTATAATATAATTATAATATAATTAAATTGAATTATTATTAATAAAGAATAATTTAAGTTTATAATTGAAAATTAAATATTAAACTAAATTTATAATATGAAATTAAACAATAATAATTAAAATTTTAATTATAATGGTAAATTTTAATTTTTTTATTTAAAATTATAAATACTTTTTGATAAAAATATAAGAAATATTTTTTAATTATAACTTTAAAAGTTAAATTTAATTTAGATGTCTTTTTTTAATTTTTATTATAAAATTGATAATTAATTATTATATTTAATTAGAAAATTTATCATATTAAATAAATATTTTTATATAAAAAATAATATTTTTTTATTTTTAACACATTAAAAATATATAAAATTTATGAAAATAACTGATAACGTAATACAATTAATTTAATTGATACATCTTGATTATAATTGTTGGAATACTTTGAATATTTATATCCGAAAACTCTTATTAGAAGGGAATCTATCTAGTAGAATAAATTATAGGAATTGAAGTTAATTTTTTTAAATTCATTAATAATTCCTTATGACATATATAATAGTTTAGAGTATGAATTTCTACGACTAGCCTTTCCGACTATGTATTGAGTCTAAAGAGTACAATAACCGACTTATTTCCTAGTAAGAACCTCTATCTAGTGGAATTAGTTATGTGAAACAAATTTTAGCGACTTATAATAATTAAAAAAACTAATGAAATATATTACTTCTTTGATTTAATTATAAGTATTTTTTCATAATTTTATATCTCCTCTTTTTGTCATTTTAATATAAAGAAAAAACTGACAAAATATTATTATTTATTTTATTTCAATTCATATAATTACTCTAATAAGCATATGACAATTAATAAAATTTGTTTTATTTTTAAAATTAATATATCTATTTATTTGGCAACGTACACTAATAATGTTACATCAGAAATTTGTTTTCAGTGCCTCTCACTTCTTTCTTTCTTATGAGACATGTTTATATATAAATTTTAATTAATAAAATGACTTATAGTTTTTTTTTTCCTCGTAAGTTATGGTATTTTTTATTTTTGTCTCAGTATTTTTTTCTTGAATAAAGTATTTAAATATTAAATTTTATTTGATTTTAATTTTTAAAACAAAAATCTGCAAGAAAATTTATAAGTTTTTTGCAGAAGAAAAAAAAAGATACAAAGACCAAAATTAAAAACACATCAATTTATAAGAATCAAAAAAACTATTTGAAGCCTAATAAAATTATAAATTGAATTTATCATAAATTTTGGAGTTTAATTAAAAAATATATTTATGTATAAATGTAAATATATGTTTCTTTACATACTAAGTACTATTTAATAGGTCACCCCCAATCAATTTTATCCATTCAATTTGTTTAATATTAAATTAATAATTATTTTAATAGTTCACTATAATGGAGAAATAATTCAATTTCACCGTATTATCTTTCACCTTAGAAGTAAGACTAAACATAACATTGCAACAATATAATTGATCAGATAAATAAACAACCAACACTTAAAAATTGCAGACCTTTCGTACCATTGTAGCAAGATAATATTACAAAGTTTCTAAAAGAACATTAAAAAAACCAAAACTCCAAAAAGTTTGATAACTTATACATTGAATAGAATGGCTCCTTAAATTCTAGAACGAAATATGAATAGGTCCTTAACTTCTCAAATACAAACTCTTCAGTTCTTGAACCAAATAAAAATAGCTCCTTAAACACAAACCAACAAAACATATTCAGTATCCAAACAAAAGTGACATCAAAATAAGAAGAAAGAAAAAAAATAAAAATACTATATAAATAAATAAACTAAATAAAATAAAAATGAATAAATATTACTTAATAACATATCAAGTAAAAAATAATAATATATAATTTTTTCTTCACATTATACTTATGTCAAAACCAATCGTCACGATAAATGAGAGTTTCAACAAATTTTTCATTTAACTCAGAGAGAAACTCATCTATAACTCTATCTCTAGTATTAAAAATGAACTCAAATGTCATAGTTGAAATTGAAATAGTTACTATATTAATAGCTGTCTTAGACAATATCTTATATTTATATTTTTATGATGTGTTGTTCCTCCACCAATCTAAAGCATAGTACTTTTAAGAATGTGATTGCCTTCGTCAAGATAATCTTACAATTATGACTTTATTGGAGAAATGACTTCATTTTCTTGAATAATACTCATAATTAATTTCATCAAATCCAATTATGATAGGTGCAACATTCAGTTGGGAGGATAATGGATTATTACAATTCAAATCAACTACAGAAGAAGAAGACGACTCTACCAAAGATACAAGTACATATTCATCATATGACTCTTCCAATGAATACTTGGTCTTCTTCATATTCTCATCAACAACTTTTTTAATTTATATATTTTGGAAAAACATAGATGCACTATATGAAATTTTCACTTAGATCCAAAACATTAGGTATAGCCATCAACATATTACACCAAAACATTAGGTATAGCCATCAACATATTACACCCCTCCGTGATATTTGTCAAATTTTATTTTTATTGGACTTGCCATTTCTCTCTATTACATCTATGATTTTATGATTAGATAATTTTTTCTAAAACATGATTCTTAATTAATGCTGAGTAAGATGTCATAACATTTTGACTAAACTGATACAACAAAGTGTGAAAGTTGCATTGAAAACAATATCATATTCCAAATTTATCCGCCTTAGTGTTACAGATAATTTTTATTCCTATTAAGTTATATTAATTTTTATTTTTAGTCACACTGATATTGGTTTTATAAGCATCTTTATTCACTTTAAAAGGCATGTTGTGATACGGTGGTAGAACCGATTGTTTTTACTGGTTTGTGTTTTGAGTTTTGTGTTTGCAAAAGGTCGCGGTAAGCAAGAGTCGCCACCGACTTTTATTTCATCCAATCGGAAAGGAAAAAAATACATAAAAAATCCTTTTTCGAGATACTCTAAGTATGGGGGTAGATTATAGAAAGGGAAGGTGTTAGCACCCTTTCTATCCATGGTTTTCCATGGACTCTTAGGTACTTGTTCATCATTTAAAATTGCTTGTGTATGTGCTTTATTTTGAAAAGTTTTGACTTCGTGATAACCCTTGTATCAGTCCTCAAAGGTGTGACAAAGTTGTTTTAAAAATTTGTTTGAAAAAGTGTGAGTGTGAAAAGTTTGACTTGAGCAAGTACCTACTAGCATCTACCTACTCGAAAAAAGATCGTTTCTATTCTCGTTTCCTTTAGACAGCGCTACCCTACTATTGAGAAATAGGTAGCACCGTCGTTGGAGTTTGTAAGGGTCAATTCGAAAGGGACGTACGATCACCAAAAAAATGTTAGGACACCTTAGTAATAACCCTAGAGTCTTAAGATCATATTCGAGGCAACATTTCCGAGACAACATTTCCGAGGAAACATTCTGAGGCAACATCCGAACGGGACATTTGATTTTTTTAGACAGAAGGGTAACCACTAAGACACCATATACTTAATGATCGTTTACCAAAGGCAACCGAAGTGAGAGTATACCCTAAGAGTGATATGTGCGAGTGATTAGTTTCAGTTATTTATCTTTGCACATTAGGGTTTTCTAACTGTATTAAATTTGTCATGCATTCTTATCATACAATCCTATTAGCATACATCTAAACAGTCAAATATTTGCAGGAACTAAAATGCGAGAAAATAAATCTACGCTATTACAAGGCTTCGGGGAGGGGGATTAATTACATAGCCAAAAACCTGGGGAAAAGCGATAAGTAAAAAAGTCCTAGATTAAGCTATTACAAATCATGAGCAGTTACAAAAATATTGGCAAAAATAATTAACACGCGCGCGATGAATCAAATACGGGATAAATAGGGTTTTGACCCTTGCCTAAACCTAATTGCGATTGATTAAAAAAATGTTTTTGTCATGTTTTTTTATTATTAAAAATAAAATAAAGAAATCATTAAGTTAAAAAAAGAAAATCCTAATTCTAATTGATTTTAAATTAAGAAAAATAAACTAATTTATTCTAAAACCTATTTTTTATATTTTTATTTATTTGAGAAAAAGAGCAAAATTAAATTAAATTAAAAATTTTAACCTAATTTCTAATTTGATTTTATTTATGAAAATAAATTGTAATTTTCCTAAGCTAAACTAAATTACATTAAAA